ATCTAGGGGGTAACGATTTGGGTTCTAGAAAGACGCTGGACTTGTTATTCAGTATTAAGTATGATTTTTATGTCCTAAAACAGAGTTTTCCAGAATTGCTAAATTTTTTTCCGGAAATTGTCCCACGCCTTCTTTGGCTTTGTTCTCCGGAATTGGGGTATCTTGAAAAAATCAGGAGGCGTATTAACCACCTAGTGGCAAAATTTATGTTACAGATAGGTTGTCTTTCTTATAGACACATGGACCTTGAGGGTGGTTTGCCTGGCCTTTATAGATACGATATGGTTGATCTCTCCGATGTGGGAATTTACATTTTGAATATGGGTATTGAGTCTGCTATTGAATCGGCCACGTTCTGGGTGGGTGCCAGTGTTGTTTCATAACTACACTGGTTGGTGGAGGTTTTTATATTCACTGGGTTGGCTCAAGTCGTGATGGCTAGGCCATGTTTTAGTGATGTTATTGATTGTTAAGTGAATTTATTGAGTTATGTATTGTAGAAATTCTACAAAAGGCCGTGGCCAATTTTATCCATTCAATCGTCTGGTGTCATTTGTTATTATATGTGATGTTTAACCCTGTCGCTGCCAAGCCCTCCGGAACATTTTTCAAATCAGCTGGCCAAGCCATTTTTGAATTTTCTGCAATTTTTTCCTATTGATTTGATTTTCAACTGCTGCGTTGCTAGCGTTTGTAAAAGACCCCCCAAACCATATATTTTCTGAAAGCGCAGGCCCGGTAGAATAAAAAGATGGTGATACTAAATTTGTAGGCCCTGCGATAAAAGTATTTGTGATTTGGATCGTGGTGGTCGAGTCATTTTGATGGTTTTTCAGTGTTTGAGTTCATTTATATGAAGAGTTTGCGGAGGTTTTTATATTCACTGGGTTGGTTCGAGTCGTGGTGGCTGGGCCATGTTTTAGTGATGTTATTGATTGTTAAGTGAATTTATTGAGTTATGTATTGTAGAAATTCTACAATAAAGGCCGTGGCCAATTTTATCCATTCAATCGTCTGGTGTAATTTGTTATTATATGTAATGTTTAGGTGCGGGCTATAGTCCCATGCTTCTTAAGCATTTGACTACACCACACTTACGTTCATTCCTTGTAGCTAACTTTCATTTGATTGGAATGATTTACTGACTTCCATGATTTACTACCTGAAATATTTTTGGTAGAAACCATCCATAAGAACTATTGTGCAGTCCTTATACAGAAGCTTCTCAAAAGAATCTGCAAGAACCATGCTATCTGCTTAAACTCCACTTTATATAATCAGTAAGCCTGTGCGTCTCCAAATCAAGCTAGCCACTGTATATCTGCCACCACCACATTCAACGGAAGGGATGTCCCGAAGCAGTAAGTACCGAGGGGTGGGCAACCAAACAGAATAAGAAAAGGGTACCCACACACTAAACAGCTGCTTGTAGAACTTTGCGGACAAAAAACGCATCTGCAAGGACAACAACATCAAATTTATAAAACGGGGTACAGGTGTGCACCGACGATTATAAACTTGCACAATAGAAGCCTGATGACGAAAGGGCTAGGACGTGCTAACTGTCCTGGTAGAATGGGCCGTAATCAGAAAGGGCAGAGATTAACCCTTAAGAGCGTAGGCCTGAACAATAACCTGCCTAATCCAATGCGAACTGATGTCTGCAGAGGCCGCCTCATCTTTACTAGAACCCTCAGTAACAACTAAAAGGGATACCACCTTACAAAAAGACTAATTAGCAGAAAGATAGACTTGCACAGCCTTAACCACATCCAAACAATGAGGTACCATCTCTTCAGGATGTGTTGGACTGGGACAAAGGAAAGGAAGGACTATATCCTTATTGATATGAAATGTAGACACCACCTTAGGCAAAAAATGGAAGGCCGTGGACGGAGGACCACCTCGTCCCTATGTAAGAACAAAAATAGAGGCTTATACAACAAGGACGCCAATTCCCTGAGAGCCGAGGTGATGGCCACAAAAAAGGCCACCTTCTGGGACAAGGTCAATAAAGGCAGTTCTCGAATATTTTCAAAGGAGACTTCTGTAAGACAGAAAGCACCAGGTCCAAATCCCATCTTTGGCATATTTGTTGCAACAAATCTGGATGAAGGGCCCATTCCCCTTGATCCAGACCCTGATGACTCAGATAGTCCACCTGCCAATTTTCTATGCCTGGTATGTTTGCCGCGGACAGGACCAGAACATGACTTTCTGCCCAATATAGAATGTGAGACACCTCCAGCACAATGGTTCGACTCCTCGTGCTCCCTGATAATTCACATAAGCCATGGCTGTAGCATTGTCCGGCTGAATCCTGATGTAATGCACGCGCAGAAAATACATTTGGCCCAGGAGACAGAGTCTGATCGCTCGAGGCTCCAGGACATTGATTGGCAACCCGGACTGTTCTCTGGTTCAATGGCCTTGCGTTGACCACTGTCCAGTCACTCCACCCCAGACATTGAGACTGGCATCCGTCATCACCACCTTCCAGTGCACTGGGAAAAAGGACTTCCTGCTCGACAGCGATGGTGAACGAAGCCACCACACCAGAGAGGCCTTGAACGACCGACTAACCCGCATCTGCCTGTCCAGCAACAGAGAAGAGTGGTCCCAACTGAGCAAGGATCTACCGCTGCAGAGTCCGAATGTGGTGCTGCACACACGGAACCACCTCAAACAAGGAAACCATCAGACTGAGAACTCGCATTCAGGTGCGTATTGACGCTAGATTGCACGCACACAACAGACAAACATATTCTTGGATTCTTATAAGCTTTTCAGCAGGCAAAAACACCCTGGCCCGACCAGTGTCCAGAATCAGGCCCAGGAACTTGAGACAGAGAGACAGCACAAGGACAGATTTAATGGACATTCAAAATCCAGCCGATCTCCTCCAAAGTGCGTATAGCCGTCCAAGTATGCTACGATTGAGATCCCCCATTATCTCAACAAAGCAAGGACCAGAGCGAAAACCTTGGTGAAGACTCGAGGGGCTGATATCAGGCTGAAAGGAAGCGCCACAAATTGAACGCAAAGTGCAAAAGCTTTGATGGGCGGGGCAAGTTGAGACATGCAAGTATGCATCTTTTTTATCGATTGATGCCAGAAAATCTCCCTGATGGAGAGAAGCCACCAAACAGGCGAACACACTCCTTTTTGGAACAGTAAAGAGGTTTGAATAGAAGCCCGATTCTTTCCAATGGTGAAACCGGGACGACCACCCCCAAGCACACTAGGTCCTGAACCGCTAAACAAAGGTCGCACAGATGTGCTAGGGATAGGCGATTGGAAGGAAAAATCGGGGTGAGGAAGGTAAAGAAAACCTATTTTGCAACAATGATATATGGGGCAGCCAGTGATCTTGATGGAGAACTTTAGCTCCCCCTCTGCTGATTGACAGCATCAGTGGGCGGGGACAATAGCTAGTCTGCTATTGCAAAATGAAATAACCAATAGAAGCCTAGCTATTCATTCCTATGATGGGTTTTTTTTTTCCTGTGACGGCGGCTTCGATGTCAGAAAAAAACAGATAGCAGGGAAAGGTTTACTCCGCTAGATAGAGCAGAGTAAACCTTTCCGGGAGAAAATGTTTCTCTCCCGGGCAACCGCTATCTAATAAGGGAGACTCCAGGAGAGTTGGGATGTCTGGATTTCCACGCATCCTCATAGTTAGAGCCGACCTGTGACAATGAAACTGTCACAGGTCGGCTCTATCTATCGGGAAGTGAGCGAACACATGCAGCCGATCCGCTCACTTCCCTACAGAGCAGTAACTGCCAGTCACCGCTCCCCGCAGGGATTCTCCCCCTGCCTTCTCAGATCCTCCAGCGCTGAGTGGAGGAACGAATGGTGGAGGGGCCGAGCACAGCTGGCTCTGCCTCTAGATAGGCAGAGCCAGCTGTCACTCACGCAGCTGGGTGGATCTCGACAGTAATGTCGGGGCTGCGGCGGTCTCAGTATACCGCAAGCTGTAGCTCGTGGTATACTGAGCTTTGGGTCACAGGAGGACAATAGTGTTTCCTCCCGTGACAACTATGGGGAAAAACACTTACCCCATAGTTATCCTTTTAACTCCAATCAGCGCTGATTGGAGGAACGAACAGGAGAGGGGCCGAGCACAGCTGGCTCTGCCTCTAGATAGGCAGAGCCAGCTGTCACTCACGCAGCTGGTTGGATCTCGACTGTATTGTCAGGATCTGTCCCGGCTGCGTTGCTCTCAGTATATTGCAGGCAATAGCTTGCGATATACTGAGCTTTGGGTCACGGAAAGAGGTTAGTATTTGTCCTCCCGTGACCCTAAAGAGAACTATGGGATAAAAAGGTTACCCCATAGTACTCTTTTAAACCACTACATCTAAAAACTGGTAATCTGCAATATATTTTATATTCTTGTTTTAGAGTAAATGCTTTAAATGTATAATCAAGCTATATAAGAATTTAATGTCTCCCTGCACATAGCAGACACTGTCCTATAGTCTAGTAAATAAAGGAAATCCAGAGAGTCTCTGGTCTGCAGCCCAGATGCCACCATCAGCGAAGTACAAACATCAGAAAATGGCGGGCTGGGCTTCCCTCAGCACACTAAATGACAGGTTAGAAGGCGGGAACCTCCCCCAGCAGCACGCATTGAGTCATGTGTAAGGAATGTACCATCTGACGAAGCGTCTCTCCACTTAGCAGAAGCGATGCAGAAGGGGTGTCTAGTATAAACATTTCTAGAAATGAACCCTACAGGTGGAAACTGCCACGCATCAGGTAAGTATATCACGGGCATCCAACTTTTTTTTCCCATCGGGACTCGTGCTTGAAGCTTTAATACATCGATGCCGCGCACCATAGATAATCAGAGAAGTGGTCACCCCTTCTAGAAGAGCACGATGGTAGCTCCCGATTGGCAGGCAACAGCCTACCTTGACTAACAATGGGCGTGTTAGCGTGCGGAGGTTGCTATTGGTGGAATTCGGAGCAGCGGCCGTGCGTTCTAATTCGTGATTGGCTCTGCTGTAGGGAACGCCGTGCGCAGCTCGACGGGCATTTTTAGGGTCGTGTGCAAACCGCGTGTGGCGCAGCCGAGAGGAACTGTAGATAAACAGCGTTTGGGTGGTGAGTAGAGGAGCGGACCAGGGGAGGGAGTCATGGGATGGGGGGCAAAGAGGTGCCGGGGGTGAAGATTATAGCTAAACAGAGGCGGTTGCAGCTTTCGGCCTCCCTTACAAAAAGCAGGGAAAGCCCGGGCTGTCAGCTGCCTGGGTCTGCACGGGGAGAAGGGGGCGCGGTGCTAGGCCTGAGCTGGGGGCGGTACACTACACTGGAGTGCTATGGCCCATGCTTTGCTCTATACTAGGCTTCACTGTGTTACCAATGCGGCCTAGTCTCACCCTGGGCACATGTGCCGCATCGCCGCCGTCACGTGAGGCTTTCAGCGCTGCTATTTATAACCGGAGCGCGCGTCTCTGGTAGAAGCGGGGGGCCTGTGCAGCACGTGTGCCAGAGCGGCGCTTCCTTATATGGGCAGCGTGCTCCCCCCAACTCCCCGGGTTCGAAACACATCTCGGGGTGCATCCTCCGGGGTCTATAGGTAGAAGATTACATTTTGTCTGTTGGGTTACTCCTTAATAGTAAAAAGCGCAGCCATGGAACACACGATGACTGCCAAGCAGTGTACAAACATCGAGGGTGTGACATATGGTGATCGGCTGTATGCAGGCCGTCCACGCCACGTTGGTGGACCTGCATAGATCGTTGCATGGCACATGGAAAACACTTGTTTACTATGTGCCATGTTCACACCACAACGCTGCCTGCACGTTGGTTGGGTTACATTGTGTAAAAATCTGGATATGTTGGGAGGAATGAATCAAAACTGGAGCTGTTGCCCATAGTACCCAATCAGCTCATATGTCCAGTTAAGCTTTGAAAATGAAATCTAGAAACTGATTGGTTGCCATGGGCAATTGCTCCAGACTCTGCTCCGGTTTTTGTAAATTCCTCATTTTTCTACAGCAGGCTTTAGCACAGCCGAGCTGCCGCACATAGAAATGTGTTGTCATTTTGTGAAGTTCAAAAAAAATAAAGTAAATTTTGTGTCTTGTGCTGTAACAATGCAAGGCACTGCCCCCCTCACCATGGCGACACATGGCCAGCCCGCACCCGTTTTAGCAACTGCCTTTCTCAACTTAATTCTTGAAATTATTTTTAGGTCTTGGAGCCCCCCACCCTTCCCCATCTATGTGATAGAATCAGCTGTATTAGTAATCGCAAAAACAGTCAGGGTCCGTTCACACCAGCCGCTGCGCCAAACAGACATCGGCTTGTATGCGGTGCTTGATACTGCCGATGCGCCTATCCGGCCACATGGCATTGTTTACTTTTTTTTTTGAACTTTATTGAAAGGTCACAAGTGACATTTCATTCCATTTTATGGATGCAAGGTGGTTTTTCTCCGTTGCATCCTGCTGAGCTGCAGAAAAAGTAGGACATGCCCTACTTTTTCTTTCAATGCAGAATACCATGGTCCCATCCATGATAAAGCAAATGGTCTTGTGTTGCGTTGGGGCTGCGCTGGAAACGGCCAACGCAGCCCCAAGGCTTGTGGTGTGAATGGACCCTTAAGGAGCACAGATTTAATAATGACATTGGTGGTCTGTGGTGAAATGCTTCCTTACCTTGATGATCCTGAACTCCAGGAATTAAACAAAAAAACTAATCTACCCTTGCTGTGCCTGCCCCCGCACCACATGTACATACTGAAAGGGTTAAATGCTTGTTCAGTCTAGGGGTAGAGGAATTGGGTGTGATAACTTATTATTCTCTCTGGCATGCTTCTGATTCTCCAAGTTGTTGGGGGGTCCCTCACCATCTATACATACAATGAAGGGCTATTGGTCCTCTATTGTACTTTTATGATGGTGTTTGTGACCACTGGCCAGAGCGGCTTTGGCAGACTGGTCACTTAGCATGGAGGAAGCCTGCCAACGTGAGGTATAAGGTAAGTATTTGTGCTTGAGCAGACAAGCTCATTTCACAGAGCTTTATAACAAGGATAATTATCTTTATTTCAACCTCCATGACTGCAATTTTTAAATCTCATTGGATTTGGCAGGAAATAACACAAACATTTTTTAAAACAAGGATCCTTATTCTGGCACGTTTGCCTTGTGAATTGAGCTGCATTCTTCCACACAATACTGGATGTATAAACGGGGCACATGGTAAACGATTGTCATGGGAAATGTTTGTCCTTGGGTTTTTCCCCAAATCACTAGCAATACCATCACAGAAGATGATGTTCCTGCACTTTACTTTGTATGGTTATTGAACATACGTGTGTTTGGAACATTTGCTTATGTCAAGGACTTTAAATGGGCAAGAAAAATGTCCCAGACCCATACAATAACAATGTTAGTTACTCTTTCCCAGGAATAAGCAGCTTGTCTTCTTTTGCATTGGGTCTTGAAGATCACATGAACCTGGTCTCAATATGTCAGATTACACAAAGTAGCCATTAAATAATTGACCCGTTCAAATCCAGAATCCAGTCATCTGTTGCAATTTGTGGATCAATTATCTCATGTCTCGAGTTCTTTCACAAAATGTTCCAAGGTCTGAGTCACTGTATATTCTTTGTACAGGTTGAGCAGGGTGACATGAATTGCACTGATTTATTACAGGTTAAATGCTGTTGAGGGAACCTGTTTAACTTGGATTTGCCAATAATTAAAGGAGACCTGTAAAACATTGGCTTCCATTGCTTTACCTTTTCCTTCTCGAAATGCTAATTAACTGACTTCACACTAATCCAATGAGTAGTACTTCAAGTAAACCTGTCTCAAGTCATTGTGCTGATATACCTTAGGTCAGGTATAAGCAACCTCAGCACTCCAACTGTGGTGAAATTACAAATCCCATCATGCCTCTGTTTCTAGGAGTCTTATCTGTGGCTGTCAGTCTTGCACTGCCTCATGGTACTTGTAGTTCCACAACAGCTGGAGTGCTCAGGTTGCCTGTCCTTATAGGCTGTAGTGTCATTCATGTTTATTGAACATTTTATAGTCATTGAGCACTCTTTGGATCCAGCCACTTTGAGGCGTTCCCTGCATACATTTTCCTAGCCTTACCTCCACTGTAATGTTACAGCTTTTATGCAGAGTGTCTAAATATAACTAGGACATAGGATCCCATGCTCTCAGAAATGTAACAGAGGTGGTCTGGACCCCCTTCCCTTCTGCAATACAATTCTGTGAAAACACTTGTGTGTAGAGTTATGGCTGTTATTGAGCTCTGCCAGCACAGGACACTGCAATGTGAGGGCCCATTCACAACCTTACGTTGCTAGTAAACAAATTTTGTGTTCAGGCAGCTCATTTATTTGAATGGGCTGTTAACAGACCAGAACTGACAGGCTCTTTTTATTATTATTTTTTGCAATAGTGCATTATGGCATGCTGCAGTGCATGTGTATCAGTGGTGCATTGGGATGCCTTTGAATATAAACGGCAACACAGCATGTTAGTATATTTTACCCGCCACAAAGGACACGTGTGAATGTGCCCTGAGGGCAGTGAGAAGCATGTAGGGTGTTTTAAGGCATTTCCTAACAAAACAGTCACAGATATGAATATGCAGTGTACAAAAGATACATAGGCTATGCACTGATAAAAAGGTGTGGTACTTCAGTTGGGCTTCAGATAGTCTTCTTGGATAGCTGACATTGCAGTCATGTTTCTGAAAGTGCAACACCTAGGGCTTTCATCTGTTTCCTTAAGAGCTATTTCCGTATAAACGGGTAACCGAACAAAGGCTCAGTATAACCTTTTCCATGTACTGTTCATGGTCTCTTCATTTGCTTGAACAGTCATAGATGTGGGAAAATAAGAGGCACATCCTCAACGTGTCAAGTTGTGACTGATGGTACTTTGCACAGACCTTGTTTCTCCTGCTGATGGTAAAAGGAAAAATAAAATTGTCCTTTCACCCCCCTCATCAAAATAACAATAGAATTTAAGACCTCATATGCTGACACCCAGCTCTTCTCACTGTTCTGACCTGCCCAGTGCCAAGCAGTTTTTATATATGTGCAATATAATCAAGGTCTTCAGCTACTAGTACACGTGGACAATTCAAACCGAGCATAAGATTTAAAAAAAACTGCATGAGCTGATGATTCCCTCAGTGAAAGGCGCATATTTATATTGGTCAGTAGTAGGGCTGCAGCTAACGATTATTTTCATAATCGATTAGTTGGCCGATTTAACAGTAGACATAGGTAGTTGTATCTTAAAGTGACACTAAACTCAGGAGTTAATTCTAAAAAAAATGCATTCAAGTACCGTAACTATTAACAAAAATTTATCTTATGTATCGCTCAACTGTAGATCCTCAAATCATCTCTGAATTGGTGCTGACGCTGTCCTTCCTTCTGGAGGGTGGCTACTTTTGTTCCCCATGGTCCCTCTGTGTGTAGCCACCGCTCCAAGCTCACTCTTGTGATGGACTACAATTCTCAATACAAATGAGTAAACTGAATATGAGATTGTAGTCCATCACAGGAGTGAGCCTGGAGCGGTGGCTACTTTACAACACACAGGGAAAATGGGGAACAAAAGTAGCCACCCTCCAGAAGGAAGGACAGTGTCAGCACCAACTCAGATGATTTGAGGATCTACAGCTGAGTGACACACAATTTAGCTATATTTTTGTTATAGTGTCACTAAACTTTCAAGTACCCTAAAGTGACATTAAACTCTCAGATTTTTTTAAACATAAAACAATACTGTAATGTGTGACTTACTGTAATCCATGGTTGTTTCCCTTCTCTTTGCTGTTCTTCCTTTTAAATCTGTATCTCTTCTCTGCTGGGGAGAACCTCCCTTTGCAGCTGAGTGCCTCTTCCTGTAGTGCTGGCTCAGGTTGTGAACCTGCACACAGACATCATGTATCCATTCCAGAGACAAGGCAGTCTGCTGCAAAACAGAAGTTCTGCCCAGCATGAGAACAGATACAGATTTAAAAGGAAGAGCAGCAAGGAGAAGGGAAACAACCATGGATTACAGTAAGGCACACATTACAGTATTGGTTTATGTTAACAAATCCGAGGGTTTAAT